TTTATTTTTACCATATACACTGGGGTGCAAAATTAACCGGACACTTAGATTTTTTCTAAAAACTAGCGTTTATGAGATGTTCCTAATTGAGTATTTAATAATAAACATAAATCGGAACGCCAATTTTTAGAAAAAAAAATCTGGGTGTCCGGTTAATTTTGCACGCCAGTGCGTATATATTGTGCCTCTTTTTTAAAATTATTTCTTTTACTATAATCATTCACCATCATTTTATATTCCGTCTTTTGTCCATTTACATTTTGTTCCTCTTTTTCATTTACTATTTTTTTCTATCGTTATCCCATTTTTTTTATCTGCTCATATTTCTTTTTTACTTCTACATGTACCATTTAAATTCTTCCACATTTATATCGTGTCATTGTTTTCTATTTCTTTCTCCTTCGCCATTTATGTTCCTTTTTTTGTGGTTATATATTTTTTTAATTTCCGCTTACTTTTACTCCGCTTCTCTTCTTGTTTTTTATTTTTTTAAATCTCATTTTTGATTCTTCCTTGGCCTTTTCTTCATCATAGCTTTCCTATCTTTTGGTCCCCTTTTCTCCACAATTTGTTACGGTCCTTTCCCTTTGTTTTTCTGTAATTTTATTTTCTTTTATTTTTTTTGCGTTATCCCCTATTACTCATTCTTGTCTTCTAATGTTGACTTAATGTATCTTTTCTCTTTTACCATTTCTTTTTCCGAATATAAGTAATTTCTGCCTTTTCTGCTTCTATGTCCCTTATTATTTTTATTTTATTATATCTCTTTTGATTCGTTTTCCCTCTATTATTTTTCTTTTTCTATTCCTGTCATTTTTTTAAACATTCTCATTTTTCTTCGTTTTATTCTCATTTTTTGACGTTGTTCTCAGTATTTCATTATTTTTCTTGCCTTTCTATTTTATTTCAAAACTATACTTTATAGCATTCCCTTCTGATTTTTTGTATATGTATTTTATTTATTTACATGTTCTTTATTTTTTCATGGATTTCGTTTTATTTTGTTAATTATAATTTATTTGATGTTTCTATAATTGTTCTGTGTCAATCACATTTTTCTGTTTTTTATTTTTCTATGTACTTTTTACGATGTCCGTGTTTTTCTTCGTTTATCTCCATTGTCATTTCTTATTTTCTGCATTCTTTTAGTGCTCTACATCTTGATTCAGTTGTTCCCGTTGTGCTTTTTGAATTTTCTATTTTCTCTGCTCCCTATTTATTTTTATGCTTCCTTTTTCTCCTTTCCTTCTTTATCTGCCTTCTCTTTTTTATACACCGTTTTCTACACATATTGTGTTTATCCACACATCCTTAATCATCTATTATTTATTCTTGTATGCTCATATTGACTTGCTTTATCTCTTCACTTTTGCCATTTCTTCCATTTCCTTTTTCGATTAAAATTTGTTTAATTCCTGCAATTTTTTGCAATATTGTCATTTTACCTCGTTTTATTCTTATCTTTGACGTTGTTCTCAGTATTTCCTTTTTCGTCCTTTTATTTTATTTTTACTATGGTCTTTCATTTTCAATACTATCCTCTATGCCATTCCCTTCTGATTTCCTATATCTCTTATTTTTTTACATTTTCTTGATTTTTTCAAGGCTTTCGTTTTATTTTCTTAATTATAATTTCATTGATTTTTCTATAATTATTCTATTTCAATCACTTTTTTCTGTTTTTTATTTTTTATATACTTTTAACTATGTTCTTGTTTTTCTTCGTATATCTTAATTATCTTTTTTAATTTCCGCATTTTTTTAGTTTTCTACATTTTGCCAATTCTTTCTTTCCTATTCCCTGTTCTGCTGTTTGAATTTCCAGTTTATTCTTCTCCTGCTACATTGTTTTGTCAATTTTAATTTCTACCATCTCTTTTTATTCTTCTATCATCTTTTCTTTTCTACACCTTTATATTTGCTTGTATCTATTCCATTTTCTTCCGTTTTTTACGTCGTTTTCGTTTCAGCAAAGTATTTCACGTCCGTTCGGTGACCCAAGGAGATGTCATACGGGCAGATTCAAAGGATATTCCCAGGATATTCCAGCTACTGTATGCGGGAGAGGGAGAAGCTCGGAAAACCGATGCTGAACAATCAGTTTTAGCTTTGGACGTTAGTCAATCAATGAGGAACTTCGACGACAAGCCCAGTGTGATATCACATAAAGGCCACGAATTTTTGAACATTTCCTATCACATGCCGACGACGTGTGAGGTTTGTCCGAAGCAGATGTGGCACATGTTCAGGCCGCCACCGGCACTAGAATGTAGAAGTAAGTATATCCATTTTATTATGTTGTGATACATTGGTTTTGATCGTGGTTTTTCGTAGGATGTAGAATAAAGGTTCACAAAGATCACTTGGAGCGAAAAGAAGACTCGGTGCCACCCTGTAAACTCCACTACGATCCCTCCTATGCCAAAGAATTACT